GCTGTGCTTTAGCTAGACGACGTTCAGTGCGGCGCTCGCGGCGCTGCTCACGAGCTTCGTGTTCTGCACGGGCCAAAGCATCGCACTCAGCAACTCCAGGGCCAGGTGAACGTGAGCCAGTTGAGACTGACTTGACGAGACTCTTTAAATTTAATTTTAGACGGATTGGAGCACGCTCTAGTTCACTTGTATCAACGGTGGCTTGAAATAAAGCTATACCAGGCGTCCCTGCTGCCACCTCATCGTGTGAGAGGGATTCTGCATGTTGGCAGGTTGGTTCTGCTGGGTGAGCCAAACTTGAATGAGCTTCTGTCGAATCACTCTCCAATTGAACGGGATTTGATCGGTCCGTCTCAGATGGACCTTCAGCGTCAGGTTGGCTATTATCCTCAGACTCGGAGACAGCTTCTGCGGCCTCCGAAGTGCAAGTGACTAGCTCTTCTTCAGGTACAGGTTCTTGGAGTCCTTCTTCCTCCATTCTGTTTTGCTTTTTCTCAGGAAAATCCTCTTCCGTCTTGTCCTCTGATATCAGATTGGACACTGGTGAGCTGGTGCTGGTCGATCCGTTGGGCATGGGGACAGGGGGATTCCGTGGAGATGGTTCTCCGGTAGTTCGAGCTTCAGGACCACCAAGTAATGGACTGGGCAGGTAGGTCGTATCAATATTTGCTTTGTCCTGAAATAAATCAATTTCCTCTCCATCACGTTCACGATTCATGGTGGCAGTCAAATCAGTATCATCAGGAGGTTCGCGACGATTAGGCAGATTGGTATTGATCGGGCTGTTATGAGATAGGCAAGGCTGAAGAGCGATAAAGGCCGCTTGAGCTCGCTGGGTGCAAGGATTTTCACTAGGATCCGTGATTGATTGAGGTTGTGTGAGGTGCTGATCTGGTCTGACAAGAAGAAGCAACTTTGGAGGTTCACTAGGAACAAGACTAGAAATAAGGGACGAATCGATTTGTTCAGGAGACTGGACTGTTTCGAAGGTAGGGTCTGTGATTAAGGCATTAGAATAAACATGTGGAGATGGACACGAAGAAAGCGGAAAAAAAGAAGAATGGTCCTCAGAAATAATATTCTGCTCTATGGGAGCCACAAGTGTTAAAGACTGAGATGAAAGTGCAAGGGAGGGAGTGGGTGGATCGCTGAATCGGTTGGCGAACTCATCTGAGGCCTTTGATCTGATTGGCTGAGAGGTAAGAATGATAGATGAATTTGATTGCGGAGATCCGCAACATATAGTAGATAACTTTGGGGAGTTTGGAGCAATAGCGCTGTCAGTTTTAGGACGAGAAGAGTTCCTCTGTTTGGAAGATCGAATCCGTCCAAATCGACTTCGCCTTTTTCGTCTCCAAGATGATGAAGGTCTCTTTTCGACTATGATGGTCTCAGTGGGCAAAGAATGTGGAGATTGATTTGTAATCTGATTCGAAGGGGGCCGGGCAAGTGAGCGTTCCGCTAAATAATCAGCATGTTGAGGATTCATGATGTTAGATGAACTAGAGCAAGCTGGAGAAACTTGAAGACTTCTAGAATACGGGGTCTCTTCAGTAAGCTCAATTGGAGCTGGTCTGAGAACAACCGATTGAATTGGTCGATATTCTGACCCTGGAGAGGCCGTCTTATTGCTAGTAGAAAGTATCTGGTCAGGGATGGCTTGCAAAGTAGGTTCTTCCAGAATAGATATATTGTCATCTCCCGAGGCAGCGTTTGAAATGGCTGAACTGGCCGCTGAAAAAAGAAGCCGTGGTTCCACCATATCCTCGGAGAGAAGAGTGCCTTTGTGTGAATACCAAAGTGGAGCAGTCAAAATAGAGTTGCAGCTACCAGGCTGGCAGCTCGTCTCACTGCCGCTTTGTCCGCTGGCACCACCACCACCAGTAGCGGGAGTGCTGCACCAAAGGCCAACAGAAGTTGATGGCGTAGTACCGGCTGGAGTTGGATTACCCGGTGTAAAAGTAGGGCAGACAGCAGTTGCAGTCGAGAGGCTCGAGGCGAAAGGAGTATTACTTAAGAGGCCAGCTCCAGCGGGTGACTTTCCATCCAGAGCAGAAAAACATGGAGGACAAGGGGAGCGGCCAGTAGAAGATATGTTAGCAGCTCGCGCTGCCAGCTCTGAAAAAGAAATTGTGCTTACGTCAAAATGAGCAAAGCCCTTGCGGACATCAGTTTCAAGAGCAGTGGCCTTGGCAGCAAAGGCGCTGAAACTAGTGGTACGGAACGCGGCTGCCCCGGCAAAGCTTCCTAATGAAGCAAGACCAGCTGAAAAACTAGTCACCGTAAACGGCACACTCAAGCCACAGATGCCACTGGAGGAAAGTGGTCCGCATAAATGGCTCTTGTTGACACTAGAAGGAAGGAAGCCAAGAGAAGGCGAGGCAACTGGAGTTGTAGAGGGCGTAGTAACTATAGCCGCTTTGACCTTTGCAAGTATATCGACGTTACCAGAAAAAGAACCAGAGGCAGAAGGTGAAGCAGATAGAGGGGAAAGGCCAGAGGAAATTACCATCTTGTTGAGGGACCCGAGCTGAGTGTCAGCCGGAGACAGACCGAGAACCAAACTGGGATTATGCAATGGAACCTTGGGGAAAGTGGGATGGAAAAGAGAGGGTGAGAAACTAAGAGCTGTTGTGACGGGGCAATCAACTAGTAGACGTGGGCTGGAAGTACTGACGATGGGGCTGGAAGATGATATTGAGGCTAAAACTTGGACACCCAGGATAC